TTCTCCCCCATACCCCATCCCACTCCAGTCTAAGCCTGTGGCCAGCTCCTGGAGCTGTGCCATGGAGTCAGCTTCCCCAAGGTTTCCATGAAGTACATTTGCCCCACTGATGCTATGATGATTGCTGGCAGGACAGAGCAAGGGAACAGTGTGTTCACCTTGACCCGCAGCACCTTCCCTGTGTCCTTGTGGGCTTCCCATGGAGCTCACCAAGATGGAGCTGTGGAGCTGCTACTGCCTCCTGCGGCGAATCCCCTGTGAACACAGCTGCCAGATGCACTAACATGGAACACACAGTGCAAGCAGCTTTAACCTCATGCTTTCAGTGGAAAGTTATTCCCAGGCAGAAATAAATTCCACCCTATCTTACATAAAGTGCCTCAGGATGCTTGGATGGAAGCAGCAGGTAGATGTCATTTATAAAGTAATGTATATACAATGTGTACACATAATAATACATATATCACATTTTTAAACCACCCAATATCATATCTATATACGATATTGTATGATGCATATCATTTAAATCACTCTCCCATTTATGTACAGAGACAAAATCACTGAGTTTCCAAATCTGTGCCCACATCTACCCAGATGTGCACAAAAACAAATTTTATTTTAATGACAAGCTACAACTGATAAACCTAAATTTCCTAATCTCTAAATCCTCTTACTGGTTTCTCAACCATGAGATCCATCTCTCACAAGTTCTGACTCCTAGAGCTCCACTGTCCTTCACCCCTACCTCATAAATAGTTATTTGCATCAGTTTTCCTCTCTACTACACACACCTGAGCTGGGGGAAACCTTTAATATAATGAGACGTTACTGTAATTTAACCTTCATAATACTTAATGAGTAAAATGAACGAGGGCAATATTAAAGCTTTAAGAAAAAAGCTTTTGAATGGGCTCTATGTGAGTGGCTCTATGAACATCAGCCACGTTCATGCTGCCAAAGAGTTTGAGCCCTGCACAGAAAACACCCATGAAGCTGGTAGAGGAAGCCAGACTCCAGGCTCCCAGGTTCAAGAGGGAAAGAGACCTGCAGAGACATTTTTATTTACTGCCTGGTGACACTATGGCTTGGTGAGTCTGAGTGTCATATCAAGGGGCAAGAAGGAGCCCAGAAATTTCTGGTTTCAGATTGGGGCAGGTAATCTTTCCTTTTCATTCTTTACCCTTTTGTCTTGCCTTTTTTCCCCACAATTTGCAAGCTATAGGAAATTAGGGCAAGAAATCTATTTAGCACGGTTTGAAAAGATAAAAGCAAATATCCAAATGGGAGAAAAATCCAAAATATTTACCTGCAGATTATAACTACGCTGCTCTGCACAAATGTATAATTTTCTCTCCTTCCTGCTTTCCTATTTCTTCTGTGAGAACTCATACAGGCTTTTCTACCAGGGCCTGCCAGGTAAGAAGGTGCTGTATTCCTCAGAAAACCAGGGAGTTGTGTACTCCTTTTCCTACTCAATAACCAGCAGTGGTCTTTGGTAAAATTTCCCCCTGCTAACCTACCACAAACTGGCCATAATTAACAGTGTGAGATCTCTATCTGCTGTTTCCTCTCCCTGAGCACAAGAGGTTTACTGAATTACTGAACCAGAGGCAATCAGCATCATGTCTGAAGTCTGTGAGAAATAAAAGCCAGTGCCAATATACAACAAATGACCTTTCAGGTCTTTATAGGGTCCAGCAGAAGTCTGGTCCCAAGCCCAAAGGAATTATGAGCTCCTTAAAATAAAGATGTACGTTTCACATTTTGTGCCAGCTCCCTCCTTTTTTATTTGCCCATGCAATGAATTCCTTTCCTAGATCCATGTTTTCTCCAACAACCCTAGGCTTCTGATGCTTGGGTTGATCCTGTCCACTTAAAATCCTCAGAGTAGGAATTACTTTACTAAGAAATCCCTCAGAGTGAAAGTAATACCTGCAAGCTCAGACACCAGGGAAAACAGACTTGGAAAATGAATCACCCTGTAAAATGAGCAGCAAAAATATTATATCTTATCTTACAAAACATTAAAGGGGGGAAAAAGCATCTTACAAAGAAAATAAAGTCCCTATTAAGAAAAATCTGAAGAGCTTTTTTTTTGGCAATACATTCAGTCCCATAATATGAGTTAAGAGCAATACGAATACTAAAAAACAATGAAAACAAAACTATAAAACAGAAAGAACACTACTGAGAGGGAAAGAATGCTGCCATTTGAGGTTCTGAATACCTCTCTGTGGGAGCTTGTCTGCACTAATGCCCTTTTTCATGGTAAAAACAATTAAATATTGAGATCTTGTATGGCACTGGTGTTTTTTTCACATCTCCATGATAAAATTAGGATCCCTTTTTACAGCTGTGAGCCTGATGCATCTCACTGTGCCTTCACTGGAAGAAAACACACGAACAGACCAGTGCTGGCTCCCAGAAGGATCTGAGCTGCTCCTCCACCAGCTGGTGATGCAGAAGTGCAGTGCTACCGTGCAGAGCTGCTCCCTCACCCAACTGGGGCACCTGCTCAGGACCCTCAACATGGAGCAACAAGACCTGGCCCAGCCCCTTTGCTGTGTTGCCTGCTCATGTGTTGCCTAAAACAGCGAGGTGAGGACAGAGGGTACCCCCGGGAAGCAGGGAAAGGCGGTGGTGAGTGGGACCTGCTGCCAGCAGCCAGAACATTGTCCCAAAATAGGTTCTTTCACCCAGTGTGCAAGAGGCCAATTCACATGAAGAGTCGAGGTATTTTATTTATTTACAGTTCTGTGCAGAATGGAGTGCTGGGTGACAGAACCTGCACAACCACCATCAAAACTTTTGACTATTTATACATTTTAGCAAACAAAGGCATTAATGTTCATTGGCTAGAAGTTACCTAGTTCTCCTATTAATCAGTATTCTATCATCTATTGATTAGTGATTCTCTCACTTCTCATACTAATTAGTCCACATTGATCTGAGATAATTGAAAGATGTTGAACCTTAACACGGCAATTCTATCAACAAATAATTAGTCTTTCTAACACCTGGGTGTTACAAATTGTGGAATATGCAAAATTTTCTTAAGAAAGGATGTTTTTGATGTTTGATCTTCATATACTTTCAAGCCTAATAAACAAGAAGGGAGATTCAACCCATGAAACAGAGAGCAGCTAACAAGCAAGTTTTAAGTGATGTCCATGTGTTCAAAAAACAAATCACCTGTTGGTAGAATTGCCTTGTTAAAGTTTGGGGCTTGACATGCTTCAGTGATCTCAGACCCCAAAGCTTGGGAAGAAGCACGTACCACTGATAAAGGACACAAAGAACGCAGAATTTACAGGCCACAACATTTGGCAGAAGTCTCAAGATGAGGAAAAATCTAATAAAGACCACTCAGCAACTGTGCTGATATTGCTCCAACTGGGTAAAAGGTAATTCCAGCAGGGGCAGATTGTGACCATCATCTCATGGACCACTGATCCAAGAAACCCACCAACCCAGAAGAGAAAGACTGAGCATGTAGGCTAGTTAGCGTGGGAAGCAAAAGAATCATTAACACGTGGAAGACAGAATACTAGTTAATAACAGAACTACGTAACCTGCAGCCAATGTACGCTAATTCCTTTGTTTGCTAAAATGTATAAATAGTGAAAAGCTTTGATAGTCAGTGTGCTTGATTTATGAAATACTACCGGAGCACCTGGGCTTGTGCAACTCTGACATAAATAATCAATGTCTCTCTCGAGTGTGTAATTATTGCCTTTTTCACACTGGGTAACGAATCCAACTTTTGTGGACAACATGGACATCGCTTAGAGGTTGTTAGCCGCTACCTGCTTTACGAATTAAATCTACTTTCTTTTTGATTAAGCCTGAAAGTATACGAAGGTCAAACATCAGGGGACATCCGTCCTGCCTTAAGAGAATTTTTACATATCCCGCATTTCCCGCCCCCGCAGCCCCTCGGCGGCCATGTCGCGGCCGGGCGGGCGGGAGGTGGGGGCGGCGCCTGAGCGGCGCTACGGGGGCGGCGCGGCGAAGGCGCTTGAGCCCGGGCCATGGCGCGGCGCGTCGTGAAGGGGCTGCTGTGCTGGAGGCGGCGGGGCTGCTTCGGCGCCTCCTGCTCTACCGCGCCATGGACCGCAAGCAAGGTGGGGCGGGCGGGGGTCGCACCCCGGGGGGGAGGGGGAGGCGGGCAGGGGAGGGCTCCTCCACGCGGCGGCCGCCGGAGCACCGGCACCGCCCGGGCTTTTTAAGGAAAACTGCCGGTCTGGGCTCAGGAGTCGCTCGTGCGAGTGCAGGTGCACTGGAGTGGCTCGCTGGGCGGACCCCTGAGGCCAGGTCTTGAAGAACCAGCAGCGATTTTAGTTTTTACAAAACCAAGCCCGCGGGGAATCCTTTGGGGGGCAGCACGCGACCGCACCAGGAGCAAAGCCGAATCCTCCTCCTCCTTACAGTAACAGCAGGGACTCATTTAAGGACTTAAAAAGGACAGAGGCCGTCCGCAAATGAGGCAGGAGTTGATTGGTCCTGCTTCGGGCATTCGGTGTTGAGCCCATGAAGGGACGCCCTGCCTGTGTCTGGGTCTCCGGGATTTGACATTTCCCAGGCTGAGGACAGACCCGGCTGGCACGAGGCAGCCAGCATTGTCTTCCAGATTATTTAGCTTCAGTCCCTCAAGTCTCTCAGACTCACACCCCCATGCCTAGGGAGCACAGAAATAAGCCAAGCACCAGCTTAGTTACTGCAAGGATCTTTGCTCTGCAGAGCAATGGCCTTATTTTGCATTCAGGGCTCTGGAGGGTGCAGCAGTACCTTGACAGACTTGTGTCCCTGCAGTAAAAGAGTGCCTGTCCTGCTGCCAAAAGGCAGCTGTTGCTTTGGCCAGGCAGGTAAGAGTCCACCCATTTCAACAGTATTATGGTCTTTATGCAAAGTTCAAGCTGAACTTTGCCTACACTACATCAATTTGCATTTGTTTTTTGAGATTCAGATGACGTCGGGCTGTTTGGCTATTTTTCTTTGCATTTTTATTAAAGAAATATATAACAAACCCATGGAGAACAGATGTTTCAACGTGTCGTGGTAACTTGGTGCTGAGCATTCATGGTTCTATTTTTCCCTGCTTTTCAGTTCTAGATCCTAATTTTTATATGCTTAGGTAGATTTTCTTAAATTGCAGTTCTGTAAGGTGTAGTGAGCTCATCTAACAGCTCAGTGAGCTCAGAGTGAGGCTTTTACTGCTTTCTTTGTTCTAGCAATAGAATGGATAAGATCCTTCTATGAGCTGCTGTAAATCCTTAGAATAGCATAAAGGTATCATAATTTCCTATTGAGTTGCCAGAGCAGCCCACAGAAGGATTCACTGAATACCTAAAGCTGCATAAGGGAACAAAGCAGTTTTCCCAGTTTTGATTTGCATGTCTGTCTGTGAGAGGCATTCAGCTTCCTGTGTATCTGTAGCTTGTAGCTGGTTATCACAATTGTGAGGAAGCTCAGAAAACACTGATGATGGGGCTGCACGTACAGGTAACCTCAAAAGAGTCTGTGATATGATCTTAAAAAATAAATTCAGATCATAGTGGTGGCTGTAATTAAAGAGCTCAAACAAATTTAGATAAAACTAATCTAGTTAGAAAAACAGTGCATTTAATTACCTTAAAGTATGTTGGGAAAGTAACTGTGATTTACCTTTCTTGTCAGATTTCAGATACACAATGCAGAAGAGGTTTCCATCAATTCTGGAAGGTAGGTTTGCAGCTGTTGGCTTCAGAAGGATGGCTGAAGCTTCCATTGCATCTTAATTTATAAAACCAATGTTACTACTCCAGGAGACACTGCAGAAATGTTTATTGTTTTGCATAGGCATGGCTGGAGTGTCAGGCTTTTGGATAGAGACCTTGGAACTAGAGGGGTGTATATCCAATAAAACTAGCCACAAAGTGGCTCTTCTTCAGGTATGTCTAACTTAGAGCTGACACAGATTTTCCTATTTTTCAGTTTATTACAAATCCAATGAATGGTCTGGAATTCATGGCATAAGGGAGAATGACCAAATGACGTGGTTAAGCAGCAAGAACTGAAGTAAGAAAAATGTGGGATTAATTAAAAAACTGGTTTTGAATAATTATTTTTAAAATGTCCACATCAAAATGTCCAGTTCATCTTCTTGATTTCTTGCGTTTGTACTTGTTTTTCAGCCCTCTGTGCCTGAACTGTTTCTTCCTCTTGATGATGCTTTTCACGTCCCTGTTGTGAAGCCACTTGTCACGCTCTATTTCCCACTGGATCTGTTTGACATCTGTAGGAGGGAAGGTGAGAAATAAGGAGCCGATGGATACGTCTTACCGTGATGTGCCATACAGATAAATCATGTAGAAGTTAAAACTTGGCTACTGTATTTATAAATGTTTAAATAAAGTGCAAGTGAACATTTTTTTTTTTGAGAAAATTTTGAGGTTTTTTCGCTTCACAAAACAAATCCTACCATCTCAAAGTTTTAGACACTGATTTGTATTTTTCTAATGCTAGAAATGCTGGCATTAGGAGCAGCTGAAGGAAACTACGTCATGTCTTTCTGACGTTGAGCTACTGTGCCAACTGTGTGGTTTCTGACTGTGTATTTCAGTTGAAGATGGCCCATCTTTTCAAGTACAGAATCTGAAGGGAAAGAAGTAAACCAGCATTACAACTATCTGCTGTTTGCAGCACGCACTTACTTGCATTATCTCTGTTGGCCATGGCGTTCATTCCAATGTTGTCAAACTTGGACCCGGCATTTTCATCCAGCAGATAGCCAAACTTTAAAGAGAGAAAATTTTGTATTTTGTTACAAAGAAGCAGGTAAAATGCTTGATCACTTTTTGCTAAGCACCAGTCACACTCACCTCTTCCGCAGATGCCAGTATACCAGCATCTTGGAGTTTTTTCTTCTTTACTCGGTTTGATCCTTTAAACAAAATATATTATGAGACAGAATTTCAAGTTCACAGAGACACTAAAACAAAGTGTTACCATGTTTTTAATTTTTAAAATTTATTTAATGAGACCATCTAAAATAGCTCTGTTAGAAACCTTTATTCTCCACCTCCCCTAAAAAAAAGAGAGAAAAGTTTCTGAGAACTAAATAGCACAAATCCGCGCATCAGATGTAACAGATGCACAAACCACCAGAACGACTCCATCCTTCTAAAGAAGTTCCTCCTTCAACTCCCTTCCTTCAACAGCAAATTGTCGCTCAGCATTAGCCATGCTGTCTTGAGGACAACTTCCTTTTTATTTACGGTTTATTCAAATCTGAATCCAGATCCAAAACTGTAGATAATCTACTGTAGCAAAACCCTCCAATTCCACAGTTTTTTAGACTCTATATTTGTACTGAGCTTTATCAGATGGAAATTATGGCAGTGTTTTCTTACCTTTCAGTGATCCCTCAAAATTCATATCCTTCTTTCTCTTGCCCTTTTTACTCACAGACTTCAATTGCTTGTTCTTGTTTGGATCTGACAGAAAAAAGATTAATCTGTTAACAGCTATATGAACAGTTTATCTCCTCTACCCTGAATCATCTTTCTGTAGCCTTTAGTTAGTCATTCAAATATTCCATTAATCTGTGCTTTTCCAGCCACTTACACTGTATTCTGTGTAAACTCTGCTTTTCAGTTGAAAAAATAAAACCATGCAGGTGCAAGAATCAGTTACTATAGTGGTAATAAAAATTTGGGTGCATAGCTGTATTAGAGGAGTAAGCTGTTACTTGTGAGACAGCATTTTAAATAAAAGTTACCTCATCTAAAAAAAAATCAACATTAAGATTCCGAAGAAATTTGAAAATTACTAATTACGAGATTCTTTTATTTTTCTCTTTGAGATCTTTTAATATTTCTCCTACTGTAGCCAGTTATTTGTGTAGAAAGCTACTTTTGTTACTGCCAGTGTTTTCAGAATGAAAGAAACATGTCTCATTTGCAAGTTTTTATACACAGATGCCTAAATCCCACTCTTGCCCAGGAAACTGTCAGGAAATATTTCTCTTAAGACTTCATTGTCTAGAAAAAGACCTGTCATTTCTTTGCTTAAAATCCAGACTCCCCACCTAGGTAACTAAATCAGAATTTACGTGTGTAATTACATATTAGATAACATATTTTTATGGCTTTTTTTTTCCTGTTTTTTGTAATAAATGGTACTTTACCTAGGTTGTTACCATCATCAGACACATCCATAAATACACCTCCTTCTTCATCCATATCATCTTCAAAGTCTTCGTCCATACTTCCTAAGGAGACTTCCTCATCATCGAGATCACTGAATTCATCTTCATCATCAGAATCCTCCCAGTCAGCACCAGATTCTTCATTGCTTTTGCCTTTCTTACTGCCTTTGGTTTTCTTTTTTATATTACTAAAGAAAGATGTAACAAGCTTAGCACTTCATCCAGCAAAATACTGTTTAGATCTAGGTGACATCTACCTACTGGTAAGCACCATGTAGAAAAGTTCAACATCATTGCAAACTACTGTAAATGTAGGCTGAGACCTAAGGTATATGTATTATGCACTCAGGTTATGTTCTCAACATTAGTATAGAGAACTGTATTATAAAAGTCAACCATTTTAAGAAGTTATGGAGAGAATACTATTCTGAAATTAGCAGAAATGTCAGCTGCAGTATTCTATCTTTGCTCCTTTTCAGAAAGTCTTTGTAACACACAAACTGCTCTACTAAACACCACTCTAGATCATAAAAATTTTCAGATTTCACTAGTTTAGACTTCAATTCTCCTGTCACCTCAAGGAAAAGTTTCTGTGCCCATTCAAAAGCTGCATTGTAGATACTTCAAGTAAAAAAAGAGCCTTCTTAATAATTTACGATTGGTCTTTATAATCTTAAAGGTCCTTTCCAACCAAAATGACTCTATAACTGATGAAGCTGCTAACTTCCTAAGAACCAAGCTCTGTGACCCTGTATTCCACCATGTTTATTTACTGTGTTGGTTAGAACCAGTCCTTAAAGCAGTAGAACCATTATGCCTCATACTGCTTCCTTTTGTACTTGGTATTTCTCAAAGAGAAACCTGAGACAATGAAAAACAAGATTTTACCTTGCTTACTGGGTCACTCCATTGTATAAATAATATACTACAGGTCTCTCACGTGTCAAGCCAGCAAACCATAAGCACCACAGGATCATTATGATCCATTATGGGATATGCAGAAAAACAGCATTACTCAGTGTTCAACTGCTACTGCCTTTTTTTGCAAGGTGATAGTCTGAGTCTTTCTGAAAAAGGTCTATCCAGTTCTGCACATCTCTACTGAAACGAGATGTAAGAACCAATCTGAAGTCTTACCCAGCAAAATCAAGGTCATCCTGGTCAATAACGGCATTATCAGCAGCTTCAAAGGTATCTAGGGAGAAAATAAATTATTACTGCAAAGCAAGTAAAGAAATATAAATTAAGTCATTGTGTCCAACAAGTACATAGACCTGTTGGAGCAAGTCCAGAGGAGGGCCAGAAAGATCACTAGATTGCTGGAGCACCTCTCCTATGAAGACAGGTTGAGAGAGTTGGGATTATTCAGCCTGGAGAAGAGAAAGCTTTGGAGTGACCTTATTGTGGCCTGCCACTACCTAAAAAGGGCTACAAGAGAGCTGGAGAGACTTTTGACAAGAGCATGTAGTGACAGGACAAGGGGGAAAGGCTTCAAACTGAAAGAGGTAAGTTTAGATTAGATATTAGCAAAGAATTCTTTACTGTGAGGGTAGTGAGGCACTGGGACAGGCTGCCCAGAGAACGTGTGGGTGCCCCATCCCTGGCAGTGTTCAAGGCCACATTGAATAGGGCTTTGAGTAACCTGGTCTAGTGGAAGCTGTCCCTGCCCATGGCAGGGTGGTTGGAACTAGATAATCTTTAAGGTCTCACATAATCCAAGCCATTCTATGATCCTATCATTGCAAAATACCTAATGTTTAGGTATCATGTTCCGGAACGGTTTATATGATCTGCACCAGTGATACCAAAGGTTTATACTCCTGTAGTAAAAAAATCCACAAAATAGTTACCTAAAGCTAAATGAACTTTTTCTGAGAAAAATACTTTTCTTTGAAAAGTAATGGAAGTTTTATTTTATCCAGGATGTAATTTACCACCAGAACTGGATGACATGGGAAGCAGACAGACACAAACAGACAGACAACTGGCCCGTGATACAAACTTAGTCAGCAGATGGGATATCAGAAGTCTCAAACACTTGCACCAAGTCAGATAGAACAAAAACTAAATTAAGATACCCAAGCAAATGTCCTGTCAGCTAATCTGTATGTTCATTTTCAGATCAGAAGTATCCACTATAATTTCTTAAGAAAAGCAAGCAGACTAGAGGTTGAAAGCTCCTATCATAGGATTCACTTTGGAATAATTTGCTATATAAAAAAGGAAATGAAAAAAATAACCTGAAAAATTACAGCTGTTCTGTTTCAAAAAGTAAATACTAACATTAGAGGGTCCTGAATATATGAAGCAAATTTTCATTAGAGATACTAACAGTACAAAGACAAATGCAATTATTAACAGATTCTTGTCATAACAAAGACTCTATTAATTGAGTCACTAAGAAAGAACCCTGCTATGAGAATTCAGAATTCTCTAAAAATACTGTACAAAACAGTTATGGAGAGCTAACTGCATTTTCTTTTCTCAAAATGCATATATTACTGTGTAAGTAAAATATGAAATAATAAAATAAGAGATGTTTTGTGGTACACAAGGAAATTTACATTCTGGAACAAATCACACACCAATTCCAAAGCAAACAAAGTACATGATACAAGAAGAACTAAGACTACTGCAGAAGTACATCAAGGACCTTACTGAACAAACAACCTCATAAAATATGTTAGAAACTATGAGAGAAACTGTAAGCAAGATTGAAAAAGGCCAAGCAGCAAAGAAAAAATGGAAGCAAATGTTACATGCTGCTAGAAAAAGTTACTCGGACTACATTAGGAAAAGAAAAAAGAAGCATGAACTGCCACTCATGAGCTTAAACTCAAAATCAGATGATTTCCAACCATTCAAACAAGTTGACTACTGGAGTGGTGTGAGCAAGACCTCTTTTACAAGATGGCCATCCAGTTTGCTTGCACTATGGATCATAGGAACTGCTGGCTGCAGTACCATAGAATGGCAACTGGAAAGCCAGTTTTCTTCCACTTCCATATTCCTGTATCTTGTTCTTTTATGCAATATGAGCTACAAAAAGGATAAACTAATAATCTGAAAAAGCAGGAAACACTGGGATAGTTACTGCAAGGAAGAACACAGCCTTACCCAATACCCTTTCAAATTCATCATCATCTACATCTTCCACACTTTCTTCATCATCCTGACGCCTTTGTTTCTCTCTCTTCTTATCGAACTTTGAATAAAACCTGAAATAATGTATAGCTCTCAGACACAAAATTACAGGTGAGGATCTTTATGATAACTTAAAAAAAAAAACACCTGCAGATTGTTTCCTGTGTATGCTGCCGGTTGAAAACTGTGATGATTTCAAACACACCTAAAATCAAGAGATTTATATTTCCTTTGTTTTTCAAACAGTCCGTCACTACTGTAAGATTTAAAACAATGAAATTTCACTGGCCAAAGGTGCCAGAAGTTATTTTTAACATGAAAGGGCACAAGAAAGATGTAAAAATTTGCTGTAGACCAGTAATGAAGAAGGGATGAAGTGCAACTTGAATATAATTGGGGAAAAGTATAAAAGACATTGACCCTCAAGTTTTATTAAATTTTCTCCTATAGCCCTTTTCTTTTGGGTGCACAGTTTCACCTTCTGTCAGCTATTTTAAAACACTTTTTCACCTTCATTTTATGTTGAAGAACTACCAAACACAGAAGGCAATTTTGATCACATACAAAAGAGTACTTTGTACAGGTGACTTTAAATCTGTAATCTCAGTTTCAGTAATCTTCATTGCAACAGTACCGTTAACTTTTCAGAGAGGGGCACATTTTTAAGCTGCTCTCCTTTAATCTCGAAATTAAAATCACTATTTATTAATAAGATATTCCTCAATATTATAATATCAATTAATTAAAATTAGTAAGTTCCATTAACCTGACACTTCAAAAATGTTTAAAGGTCCCTACAGCAATGAATATAGTAAACAAAACAAACCAACCGAACAAAAACACTCTAAGTGAATTAAAAAAAATAAATGAAGTTAATTCAAACACTAATTTCCTAAGGAGACACTCACAGGTAACCAGTATTTTGATCTAATAAAAATAAGTCTTTGCCAAATGTGTATCAATCCAATTTTAGTGCTATAACTGCATTTGTGTATCATACTCTGAAAGGAAATTCAGAGAAACAGAACTATGAGTAATAAAAAAATAAATACTCTGAAAAGTAGCTCCTTTGACTTTTTTTGCTTTGTTCTATTCTAATAAGCTTTGATGCTAATAACGTAAACAAGGTATATTCCAGCTTTCTTTAAATATACTTCTAATGCATAAGAACTACAACCCACAAGATGTTTACTTGATTTTAGACTACAAGCCCTGACTGCCTTTGTTCATAGGTGATATTCTTTCCTAATCACTTTCGACAAATGTCAAAATTACGTCCCAGAAAAGCACTATCATCATAAGTCACTCAAATCAATCAAAATTTGCAAATACTTGAAATACCAGAGAATACTTGAAAATGTAGTGGGTTTTAATGGCATTGCAGTAAAAAACCAACACTTAAAATGAACATTCACAAGCGTTTCATTACCTGTGAAAGAACACTTCATCCACTGGGATTTTGCTTTCATCTTTGGCACGGAATTCCTTACTGTTGACTGCAAAAACAAAAAAAGAACTGATTTTACTTCAAGTTGAAATGATTGTTACTCTTTTAAGAGGTTAAACAGCATGCACAGACAGAAGTACACAGATACCCAGGGTCATCTGTTAAATAAAGTGAAGCTCATTCAAAACCTCTTCAAATAGTTCTCAGTGTATATACTGATACTTCAGTGGGAACAGACCCCATGGAAAAACAGAAGAGGCAAAGCCCTAACTAGGTTCTAAGTTATGTATCAGCAAGGGGGGGGGTTACAATCACCTACAGCAGGAATGCATTTAAAACAAAAACGGGAAAAAAAAGTAGGAAGTAAGATGAACTTGCTGTCATGCACTAAAACGCTGGAACTGCTTCTGCCCATCACTCCTGGCAGTAGAAATGCTTGTCAGCAGCTGCAGGGCAGGACCGTGCACCAGCTGAGCACACTGAGGAAGGGATCGAGCCTCAACTTGCCTCCATTGCTGGGGAACTGCGGCAAAATATGACACTGCAACAGCAGACCAGCTAGGATTCCCTGTGGAGAAGATTTTTACCCTCATACGTTCCCCTTCCCTCCTCCTCCTCCTCAGAAGTAAATCAAAGGAAAAAGAGGTACTAATTATCTCAGTGAGAATATACTATAATATTTTCTAAGTGACAAGGGTCCAAGTTTCTGAAACCAGATCAGCACATTCACAGAGATACTTCAAATGAACACTAGAAGGTACCAGAGGATTTGCAATCTCAGCTCTCTAAACCCCAGCAGAGATCAGCTACATGCAACAATTGCATATTGCATATTAACATATCCAAATTTTTGTTATCAAGTGTTCATTTGTAGAAAATTTAAATTCCTCAAATTCTAAATGTTCAGTCTGCTCCTTCAATTCAGAATAAGCTAAAGAATGTGACAAATAAACTGTACCTTCAAATGCATTCTAGGTTAAAATTCCTACTTTAAGTTTTAACAGCCATAAAGGTACATCAAGTAATCTGTATAACTAAAACTTCTGTGTTACACAACAGACCCAAAGTCAGAGGAAAACACATCCCTGGGAATGTTACAGAGGCTCTACCACAGAAGATGACACCTCTTCTGTCCTCAAGCTGCAGGTTTTAATGATGGTTTACCCTGATTTTTAACTGCTGGTTCTTACCACCAAATCCTGCTCTTAATTATTGGAAACAGTGGGACTAGGGAAAAGGCAGCTTCTTTCTGGAAGCAGGAAGACTCTCAGCAAAATAACAGTGCCAAAGGTACTTTACATTAATCGTAACAATAGCTGCAGCTGCAGCTGTGGCATTGTATGGAGTAATCCATATCATTTAATAAAAGAGCTTAATGTGATTTAAATAATTATACAGATCAATTTGCTGAGATTTTAAGTAATTTTTCAATCATAATAGAGTAAAAATGGCTATAGGATAACTGCCTTTCCCTACATCATTTGTCCTTAGAATGATTCAATGATCCAAAATTTCAGCTGTGGAGATTCCATACACCCTTACAATAAGATGAGACCTGATCCTGAACATCAGGCACCACCACTGTACTCCTGACAGACACAACTCTCTTCTATTGCTACAACAAACAGCATAGACAGTACAGATAACATGTCTACAACTAACCCAGAATTTTTTAGTCATCATAATCTTAACTGAAAAGCAGCTGACTTACCTGCAAGGCTCTGCATATCTTTCATAAACTGCTTCTTCTTTGGCTGCATTACCACACTGCTGGTGTTTTCTGTATCATAATATAAATCAGAAACAAATTACTTTATTACTATTGATACAAAAATGTGAGGAGTGGCTGCTACACCAGTTCATTGTGCTGCCATCCATATGACTTCAAGAGGCTGGACAAATGGGTAACCTCCTGCAGTTCAACAAGGGGAAGTGCAAAGTCCTGCACTAAAGGTGAGGAACAAACCCAGTGATCAGTACATGCTGGGCCCAGCTGGAAAGCGGCTTGGCTGAAAATACCCCGGTAGTCCTGGTGGACACACAGCTGACTGTGAGCCAGCACTGTGCCCCTGCAGCAAAGAAGGCTGACAGTATTCCTGGCACTTATTAGACCACACCTGGAGCACTGTGTCCAGGTCTGGGCTCCCCAGAATAAGGCAGATATGAGCACATTGGAGAAAGTCAAGCGAAGTGTCACTAAGCTGGTGAAGGGACTGGACTGGAGCATCTCTCCTGTGGGCAAAGTGTGAGAGAGCTATGATTGTTCAGCCTGGAGAAGATAAGGCTCAGGGGGTTCTCATCAGTGCATATAAATACCTGAAGGGAGGGTGTAAAGAAGAGCCAGGTACTTATCAGCGGTGCCCAGTGACAGGGCGAGAGATGAAGAGCACAAACTGAAACACAGGAGGCTCCATCTGAACATCAGGAAACATGTTTTCACTGTGAAGGCAACTGTGCACTGGCACAGGTTGCTCAGAGAGGCAGTGGAGTTTCCATTCTTGGAGACATTCAAAAGACATCTAAACAGTCTGTTCTAGATGGTCTCACTCTAGGTGGCCCTCTCTGGAGCCTATGACCTCCAGAGGTCCTTTCCAACCTCAACATTTCTGCAATCTTTATATTCCCCTATCACTTGCTTATTCCTGCAGTCAGCAATTCTGCACTGCGAGCATGAGGGTCAGCAGTACGTGACTGCCAGCTGGTTCTGGCTGCAGACATTTCTCTTGCAGCCCTGAAGACTGATCCCACTCCTCCTGCACCACATGCACTCTGATTACTTGGCAAGGGCAATCTGAGAGAATGAGAATTTGGACAGCATCTATAATCAAGATCACATGCTAATATATACAGAGAAGTGCATACCTTTTCCTTTACTGAGTTTGGGATTTCTGTACACAAAGCGATCCAAAAATCTCATTAATGTGAAATCCTGCAAAGGGTCCCCGGAGTATTGGATGTGATTTCCCTGAAGGAAGCGAAAAGCCAAATAACATTAAGGTCTTCGTTTTCAAAACACAGCATCTAAACGCAGAAGAGTCAATCAGTTCAAGAATAACATTAAACCATAGTTTAAAAAGAAAAAGACTTGGGGATATTACATCACGTAACCCTGATCTGGTTCTTGTTGTTGCAATTTCTATATTTTCTTAAATAAAAAACACCTCCTTTGCTTTGTTTCAGCGATGAACTGCCTTGCAATGTACTTGCTAATAGCAGTTAATACTCAGTGTCATTTGGACACCACACATTCAAATGGAAAATAAATATTTAAAATATGTATTTGTGCAGGTTTGAGTATTTTGGGCATGGTACCACAACAGTGTTAAAAAAAGAATTTGTTCCTACATTAGGGTTCTGCACGTTTTAAAAAAAAAAAGTCACATTAAAAGATATATAAAAACTCTAATAAAGCTTTAAGAATCACATAATACCCACATTTCTACGAAGTTAGAACTTTTGTGAGCAGTCTTCTTTGCACAAAATACTTTAATTCCATGAAAGGTTTAGCATTTGAGTTTATGGTAGAATTCTGCAGAGCTGCAATCTACCCAGAGTGCAAGGAGACTTTATAATGTATTTTTTCTAACAGCAGAAGACACATACCATGAAAAAATCAAACCTCAAAGTTAAAGACTACTTACTTCTAGAATTGTTTTTGCGAATAGGGCCACAGATGGATGAAAATGTTCAGAAAGCTGAAAAACATGAATCATTTATTTATTTCTACTTAAAAAAATAAATGAAGTCATTACTCACGTTGACAGACTCTTGACAACACCACTATGTCATAAGACCACTCTGTAACTCATCCAATAACATGCAGATACACATAGTAGAGCAAGGCTGATGTGCTCTGCCCTTGAACAACTGAAGAACATCTAGTTCTAATGTTTTCTTTGCGTTAAATAAATATATTTTCACTTACAATTTTATTTAATGCAACACTAAAAAGCTTTAGTGATCAAAATTAGGATCCAAAACTCAAGAAATACAATTATTGTCCAAATCTCCTCTTAAAAATTCTTATTCCCTACTCCAGAATATCAGCATGGTAAGGAACATATACAAGCTTAAAGCTGAACAATGTATCATCTTTAAACTTTCTGTTATGTTAGCCAGGGAGCTACTCCAAGAATAACCAAGTTCATTTTCCTCTCTTAATACAAGGGCCACACTAAGAAACACAGTAACACCCAGATAAGAATGCTGTACCTTCTTCAGTTCCCAAAGGCTTGTACTTTCAGCACCACAGTATAAAGGACTTCGGTGCATAGGATCATACGAAGTTCCAGTCTTCCTGCCTGAGGGATGGAGGAGAGGGAAACATCTTAAATTTTCTTAGGCAACTTTACAAGAGTATTATTTTCATTTCAATGCTGCCCATCATTCTCAGCTGGGCAGGCCATAGATTCATTTGGCAGCAGGTAAAGGCTACATTCAGCTGTCCTTCACCAGTGTACGATCAGGGGTATGCACAGGTTAAGTTCCTACGTGCTTCTAAGGAAGGTCTTGAAAACGCCCTGCCCTGTTCCAAAAGGTCTTCAGGAAGGAGTGAAACCGGGCACAGGTTCAAAGCTGGACAAATGAGATGCTACACATGCTAACCCTGGATATATGGCTCTGAAGGTGTTTGAACACAGAAGCAAAAAAATTCCAAGCCTGTTTATTTCTAAGGCATAATTTATGTGTTTATTACAAACAAATATTTGCTTATTACAAACTGCATAAAGTGAAATACACTAGTCAGAGTCTCTTCATCACTGCTGAGCTATGAAATAAATTCTTCTCACTGATTGCTTTCAATCAAACTGCAATTTAAAAACTAAAATAATGTTTTAGTCACTTAACCTTAAAACAACTCTTGATCAACATGTCACTGTTACAGAATGTTACACATTAAATGAATTACATTTTCTTGCTAATTTACCTCCCATATTCAAATGATGCACCCACGAGGCTGTTGAATTTGAATTATTTGTTTTTGCAGAATTTTCCATTGTGTTTCTCTCTTTATCTTTTACTTCTTTGTCTGTATCCACAAATTTTTCCTCATCCTCTTCAGCCTCTTCTTGATCCTTAAAGCACTCTTCATCATCTGACTCCTAAAAACCAAAAAATGTTAGCAAACAGCTTTTCCTTTCCACATTTATTCTGATTTTTTAGAGAAATGCAAATATAACTCTTAAGCTACTTACAAAAATCTACGTAAATTATGGTCAATGTTTAAGAAATACAGATTTTTGTCCTTGATACAGGACTTAAAATTGAACACACAAATGTGATGGTTCCTCCCCACTTCAAGAAACAACATCTGAGCAAACCCTCAGGTTACTAATAAACAGGTCAGGGAAAGGTGCTTATAAAAATAGCTCTTACTGAAAAAGAAATGAGATAAAGAAATCATTTTATACCACGTGATCCTGTAACTGGACTCTTAACTCTGGTTTTACTCTCAGAAGCTCAGACAGAAGGTACAGGGTTCCACAAATGAAGGGTGGCATTTGGCCACAAGTGACTTGAAGTAACCTCTTCACAAAGGCCTTCACGCGCCGTAACACTACATCTGCCTTCAGAGATTTATAGACAAGGTTAAGAAACATGGATGGCTTTGAGCAGCTTGCTAAGGCAGGATCTAGAAGCTTCCTGTAGAACACACAGGAGAAAATATTGCTGATTGTCATAATGCAGGCAGGAGAACAATTGCTGTTAACAACAATTATCTACATTTTTCAGAGTGCCATCTAAAGGACCAGTGACGGCTTGTTCCCCGATACTCAAAATCATTATGATCAACCTGAACTGTCAACAGCTGTGTAATATATCTGCCTATATATGAGACACTGAAGATTAAAAAAAAAAGGAAATATAAATAAATAAACTGAATTCAAGTGGAAACAGTTTCAAAATTTGAGATATTAAAAAAAATATAGAAAGAAAATGGTTAGGAATCAGCATGCTTCACAATCAGACCAGATGTATGTACTGGTAGGTTCATTTTCTACCCCAATTTTTTCCAGGCTGTCAGGCACAGTAAGGCACTTAAATACATTCCACAGTCTGGGGGAACTTAAGATCCCTTTTTAAAAAAACAGCAACTTCCCTTTGATCAACTAAACAGAAACCTGTAAAGATCCTATAAAGAGTCTGAACAATCAGACGGGACAAAAAAAAATTCTTTTATAATATGAGGTTTTCCAATTACACAAATTAAATCATCTAAAGAATTCGTTAACAAAATATTCCCCCTCCTCACAACAAGAAAAAAAAAAGATTTTAGACTATTTACAGGCTTATTTACTTTACAGGCTAATACTCGTAAAAGTGATTTCAGAAGAAATAGTTATCAATTAGTTTCAATTTATTTATCTGGAATAAAAAACTGCCACCAGAAAAGAGTGGCAAAGGATGAAATGCATATGTTGTGTTCTCAGGACCTATTGTTTTATCCTTTTAACCTTTTGTTTTATCCCCATGTTTAGTCAAAGAAATCACATACATTTTCTTCCAGCTCATACAAAACATCAGAAATTTTGAGCCAATTAAACACAAAATTAGCAAGACCTTAAAAGCAAAATAAGTGTTTCTACAACTTTAAATTAATGGTGACTATCTCATAAAATGAAATTTATATAAAAAAAGGAAACCTGCCACTTACTTGTATAGTGCTGCATAGTACCTATCTGACACAGTCTGCTGAGAGTCCATCACTTGAAACAGCAACATCAGGGCCTGGACACTGGTACTGAAGTTTGCAAGATGCAGAACTTTAAACAAGGTGTTCATTTGCTCTTTCACTTTCTCATCACCTGTCTCAGCATAAGGGTAAGCTCTGTTTACCCCGCAAAGGAGAGCACTGAGCATTTTGGATTCAACATCTTTTTTCTTAATACAGTTCCGAAAAAAACAGAAGTACAAAGTTATCAGCTTGTTAGCCAATGCACTTTCTTCGTGACTGAGGACTATCTGATTTAGAAAGCAAATGGCATAATATTGAGTTTTCACATTGATGTTTGACCGGTACAAAAGCCTCTCCACCTCACTGCACACTACTCCCTTCATATTTGGATGCTTGTGAAGCAACGTCTCTAAAAGATAAGAGGCTTTGGTGGCGATCTTGTTCTGAGGGTCTCCCAGTTTATTCACCAGCAGGACCAATAGAGCTTTCTCCTGCTCAGGCTTGTTACAGAGAAGCTCATGAGCAACTGCCAGAGCTCGGGATTTCGCGGCTGTCAGACAATCATGGCTCAGTGTTTCTAACGCCTGCACAAACTCTGCTATCTGCAGTTTCAGGTGATGCTCAAAGTACCACAGTATCAGCCGTCTGTCTCTGGAATCCTTGTTGCCACTCGACATCTTCACTATGTTGTTAAACGGTCGCTGCGAGAAAGACCACAATTTTCGATTGTCTGGTAAGATATCTGAAATGAGAAGTTCCTTGAAAGTATCCAAAGCCATGAGGCTCTGCTGCCTGCTGCCCTTTTTCTTTATGAGGTTTACCAGGTTCTCAACAAACTGAAGACTGTGGACAGCACTGTCCTGGATGAGAAGGGTCATCGCTGCCATCCTGTCAGCCAAGGTACCCGAGGACACAACAGTTTTCATCCATGCTGAAGAGGCCCCCTTCTGATAGTCTGTCTTGTTCTTAAACAGGTCTGTCTCATGTTCATACAGCTTTTGGGCCAGGGCCTTATACTGGGACAGAAGCGTCTGATTCTGTGGCTCTGGAGAGAATTCATTGGTGTATTCTAGGTCATACCACTTGCCCCCTGGTTTGATCAGTATTGCTTGCCTAGCATGAAATGCAAAATCTTCTTCCAGTCTTTCTTTCTTTGCTGAAGGTTGCTGGCCCTGATCACCACCAGACTGCTTCTTCTTGCTGTCTTTCACACTGCTTGCCTTTTCCTTGAGTTTTTTTTCTTTTCTCCCTTCTAGTGAAGTAGGATTAGTTTCCTTCTTGCTTTTCTCTTTCTTTGGAGGCTTCTCTTTCTCCTTGCTGCCACCTTCATCCTCTTCTCCCTCCTCCACCAAGCAACTTTTCGCATACTTGCTGAGTCCCAGGGAGCTGATGAACGCCTCCAGCTCCCCTTCCTTCAGGTCATCCATTGTGTCCTTCTTGCCGCCATCCACCATCTCGCCCTCCTCGTCCACGGCACACAGCATCAAGTAATCTTGCTGTGGGCAGCAATGCACAGCTGTTACGGGCAGATGCAGTGCGAGCTCTCTCAAGACTCCCAAGGGCTT